CCACACTCACTATGGCGACAAACACAGTACGACTGCACATGCTCAGGGTGATAGTAGTGGACGCTCAAACCGGACTGTTCGAGCGATAGCGGATAGCGGAGAACGGCGCTACAAGCTCATCAGGGAAAGGAAGGGAAAGCAATCCAAATGGTTTTCGCTCTTGGCATACGGCAGCAAGTACTATTAAGTGCAAAGTGCGTGTTGCGAATGCCTTTGGTTTCATTGGTAGACTGTTTATTCGCCTTCGCACATTCATTACGTAGCTCCAACCAATAACTCGCTTACCAATCAGATCCTCTTGTTACCATGGAACGTTCAATCTTCATGCGCGATACCACACCCCAAAAATCCAACTCCTGACCCTCTCCCTCTTACTCATCCTGCTTTTCGCACTACCCATCTTTAGCTTATCGCTTTCCTGTCGAATTAGCTCTATGCTATTGACGGCGCGCAAAGCAAGACCACCCAAGCCTTCCACATCCACATCCTCTTCGCCCTCTTCCGGAAATTCCCCATGGCACCTTTGTTCTAGATTGCTTTGACGAGAACAAAATCCAATTCTCGTCCTCTTTCGTCTCTCGACGACGAGACTGTCGATTGCATGGAGAGCTAGGGAAGAGGTGACTTCAGCGTCTTCGGTCTCCTCTTCAGTTGTGTTGTATCGAGTCTCTGGTCGCGGAAACGAAGGCGCTCTTGCGTGGCAGCGTGTAAGTGGGTATGTAGAGGCGTGAACATGGCTGTGTACGGAGTCGGTGGGAGATGACATGTCTGCGTGATATGCGCTCGATCTTTGGATTTTGGAATTTGAAGGTGCTCGGTAGTAGTTGGAAGCTGATATGGCTGTCGCTTTGATCAAGGCTGGAGATGACCGGTAGCGTGGAGGGCTGGGATCAAGTAGAGTGTAGCAGAGGCAGAAGGGATGTGGAGAGAAGAGAATTAGAATTAAGAGCAAGAGCAGACGACTTATAGCAGATTAGAAAGTCAGAGCCTGTGGCTTCTTTTTCTTTCAAACTATGGGAGCCATGATGATAGTACCTTGGTTTGATCTGTTCCATACATTGGTTCCAAACATGCCATCTCCTATTTCACATTACTCATCCCTCATCTCTCATTGGAAGCGAGAACTTTACGTCAGATGTACCGACTGTACGCCAAAACAGCCACTCGTATGGTACGGGCCTCAAAGCCCGCGTCGCATCTCACCAGATATCGGGAAGTCAACGTCGGCTCCCGCTAACTGGACGCCAAGAGCCCTAATCTTCTCTTTCAGTTGCTTCTGTAACTGTGCAGGCATGGAAGACAGCCCACCAAGTTCTTCAACCTTCTCTCTAATCGCGGGAGGTAGCAGTGTCAGGTAGTCCATGTCGGGTGAGCTCATCATCTGCCTAAACTTCTCGTCAAACATTCCTTCGAAATCTTCCGCGTTCAGCCCATGGGAAGAGCTGCAAAGATGTTCCATGGGGATATCAGTATAGCCTAGTCCACGTAGCGTCTGACATGCAAGTATCTTCATCTGCTGTTCACATGATGTGCAGTACCAGCGCGACACCTTCTCCACACCGAGCTTCTTTACACATGACTTGTGAAAGTACGTAGTAGTACAGTCGCGATGTGAGCAAACGACAGTATCCTTCGCGGGTAATCCACCCTTTGGTGCGGTAGCACGACAGTAGCAAATGCACGTCGTACCTGGAAGCTCGAGTTCGTTGTGCTGGATATCCTGTAACATGACCTGAGTGAGCTCCTGTTTGTTGAATCCGTTCTTTGCATAAAGTCGCTCGAATCGAAGCTCTTGAGCCATTAGTGCTCCAGGATTGAAGCCATTCTTAACGTCGTCGTACTCCTTCTGCAAACGGTCAGGTACGCCATCTGGGTTGCGATTGCGCGCTCGACTAGTAGGGTCTTCCATGAGATAGCTGATCAGGTCATCGTCTACTAGCATCAAGCGGCCCTTGGTCCGATGATCCTTCTCGTACAGTGATAGTAATTTCTCTCCACGGAGGCGGTTGAAAGGTCCCGTGCTACACAAGTCTAGGCATGGCATCACCAGGTAGCATTGATCTCCCAGAGGATCAACACAGGGACAGTCTATGTCAGAGTCAGTATCTGCTACTAAGTGCCAGTTGCGATGCACTTACGAGGCTCATGGAAGGGACAATCAAGAAAGTCATTGTTCTCAAACGAACATGATGTGCTATGTGAACAACCATCCCATGACGGCGGGAACGGATTTGTGAGTTGATCGCTAATAAATCTGCGGGCAAACCTAATCCAGTGCATGTGCTTGCCGTGTTTTGTGATAGGTAGTACAGGTTCAGGCAGAGGTACTGGAGAAACTCCCTGAGCGAATGTCGTGTCCGTGGAGATTGGCTCTGATACTACCTCGATGGAAGCATCGTGATCATTGGCGCTCTCCGTGTACGCTAGCACATCTTGAGAACTATCGCGGTCCTTGTTGTAGAGTATAGTCTCAGGTAGCATGGAAGCAGATTGTGCTAAGACGTCACCCACGTCATAGACGTCTTCAGTGGCTTCGTTTCGGAGATCAGGAAGACTGATAGCTGCCTCCGGTATAGACTGCTTCTTTGCCTTGCGCTTCGCCTCTCGTGCCTTCTTAGCCTTCTTCCTCTGCGAGATTGCGGGATGGCCGTTGGCAGAGTCTTCCGTCCCGGTCGTAAAACTCTCGGGTACTGACATACCCCAAGCCTTTGGAGGCTTCACTGCTGGAGCTGGGCTATAAGGCTCATTTGAAGAGCTCCGCAAGGCTGAGAGGTTTGGGAAGTCGCGCGAATCGGAAAGCCATGGAGTCGGTCCAGGCCGAGGAGCACGAGCCGGAGGCTTACTTGGAATGTTACCCCAAGCGCGCGTCTTTGCTACCGATTTTGTTGGCGTCACTCCATTTGTGACGACTTGCCATCCATCAGGAGCTTGTTGTGACTTCTTGATGCTGCCAGGCACTGTAGTCGGCCCCCGCTCTGGAGCCTTGACGTTGATCACCAGAACCGCAGCCGACTGTCTGTTCAAGGTTGGGGCGGGCGGCAAAGGTAATAGCGGAGTATGATATGGCTCGATATCTGCATGGTAGAGTCCATCGTCGCCGTTCACGCGCTTGTGGTTGCTCTCAAGATGCCTTCGGTCGGAGATGTCAAGGGTACTAGACCGTGGCGGCGATTGGTCATCGTCCTGATCACTGGATTTCTGTCAGTTTTGAAAATGAATGAGTTGCGCAACGAACTTGGGCAGCGTCTTGTCGCAATTTTGCGGGACTAAAGATGAGGGCAAGGGCAACGAACCTGACCAGTGGAGCAGTCTCATCCGTGGGGGTGATACCGCCACTGAAATCACTCAGACTAGACGCGAACTTCTCTCCAGTTTTCCAGTCCTTTCCAGTATACCGCTCTTCTACAATACCGTACGCGGTCTTACTAGTGTATCGGAGATAGCCTGCTCGTCGCATTCGCACTTCGGCAGTGTCTTTCTTGACCAGAACGATGTCCTCCAGTATGGCGTGCTTGAACGTGTCGACGAGGCCTTGAAACATCTTGAGTTCTTTCCCTTGTAGACCCTTCGTTTTGGTGTTACGCCTGAGTAGCTCGTTGATACGGAAGGTTTCCAAGATGTGGTCCATTTCGGCTTCGAAGTCAACGTCTAGAGACTCGGCAGGTGCCTCGGCGAGCTTTCTAATTCCCTTGCGGCCGACTTGCGTGCTGTATACATGGGCGTGGTACTGTGGAGTAGTCAGTAATTTGGACAGAGTAGATACCAAAACAACAGACTCGGCACCTACACGAAGCTGTCGCTCAATCTCCTCGATCTCTTCCGGATTCCGCGGCCCGTCCGCGTCGTTGCTCGTTATGCCCTCAGCTGAATGTACAACGGAGTCGATGTATCTAATCTCCTCCTGCGTAATGACTCTAGATCTACTAGCCGCTCTTGCCAGACGCTTTGCATCCTTCCGCTCACGCTTTGAGGATGGAGTGTCCTCATCGCCGAGATCTCTCGCTCTTCCACGTTCGTCTAGCTCAGATTCGTCCGGCACGATATTCCAGTTGATCTCGCCACAACTCTCATAGACGGCTCGTAAGCGCTCGGCAATGTCGTGATGACGCTTGTAGTGTTGCTCATCAATGCCCATGCAGTACTTGCAAGTATGACCGCGAAGTCGCATGAACATAGCCTGGAGAGGTTAGTGCATCGTTCGCCTTGGGTATATCCCATGCAACCAACCTGGTGGAAGCGCACGCATGGCTCGCTGTGCTTGCCGAAACAAGACGCCCTCGCGCCGGGGTGGCTCAACGGACGCTCGCAAAAGCCGCAGTGGTGTCTATTGGATTATCGTTAGCGACCGTCTGCTTTGGGTGGTTGCCTCCGGACTGCGTTCCGGTGGCCCAAACAAACAAACACCGGGCTCAGCAACTCACTTGAGCGCCTCCGAATCCTCCCACTTGAAAAGAAGACTGTTGACCATGTTAATCCTGTTTGCGCTTTCGAGATCGATCGCGACCTGGGTAGGCTGATGGCGGGAAGGCAGAGCCGCTAGGATTGGATGCTTTGAGAGTGTGAGCGAGAATTGCACGCGCGATTGAGAGGATAATTCTGCTTGGACACGGAGTGCAGTAGAGAAGACGCGCAATGGCTTGGGATTGTGCGTGGCAACGTAGCGGGGCGAGGTGCAATGGCTGTTGACTGGTGTAACAGCGCATCCAGGGTTGCTCCGAGGCTGGCTACGTAATTGTGCGGAAAGAGCGAGTGACTGCGACAACACAACAATGAAAGATTTCTGTAGAGACAGCAACCAACGAGACTTGCGCAAATATCAATTGTGTTCGATCAAAAAGAGTGCCTCCGGGTCGTTGTAAGGAAACGACTCGTCGTCGTTGCGGTGAAGAATGCAGTGAACCGACCATCCGCGAGGTTTCGCGTTGTTGCATCATAACGGCCAGGATTAGACAGGATTTTGACACCATACAAACGCGAAGACCACGAATCAAGTACCACTATTAAACATCCGACACAATGCGCGCACCTGCCCAGACATAGGGATAGTTGCGTTGATACCAGTTGACGCTTCGACACGTTAGTCATGTGGCCTCATCTGCAGCCACTGTCGTCCACTTACAAGGTCTTACGCCCAGCGATGCGCGGATGCGTCGCCCATGATCCACCCAGCGTGACGTTGTGCTTACCGTCGAAGAAATCGGCTGCCTGCTGTCAGCGATATCATTTCATCGTGTGTTGAGGAGCAGAAGCCCGTCGCATGGCATCATACCTGTATAGCCTGGATACAGCTCCATCGGCTCGAAGCCGTCATGCTTCTCCAGCACAGTGCTAGTCCACTCCCAAACACCACCCAGGTCAGATTGGCCGCAGAGCTTGTCGCCCTTCTCGACCACTGAGACTGGATGCCAGTGTTTGAAGCCCACATTCGTTCCCTCAAGGTCAACGAAAAGATTGCGTGGGTTGAGACTAGATACTGCGCCAGAGTCGCCGTTTGACAAAGCTCGGGATGGTGGTGTCTCAAAAACGCCTTCGTTGATCAAATGGCTGCAGACTGTTAGTCAAGAGTCTACGAGGATGGATAACAGGCCTCATACCCGTTGACGGCTGGAATTCTGTTTCCAAGCGAGCTCTCAAATTCCGGCTTCATGCTGTCGACATAGCTGTAGATGCTTCGTGCTTCTTCCATGGTAGGGATGCGACCGCCCATCCAATGCGCACAACCAGCTAATTCGTCGTAGGAGGCGACTACAGGCCATCCCATGACAAATTTCAAGGGGACAGTGCCGTACACAGTGCGTACAAATTTCCCTTCCGTGATACTCTGAGGTGAGGCATTAACACCTTCATGGTGGCCGTTTACCACGCTGTCTCTCTTTCCAGTGGTCAGGTCCTTGGCGTTTGAGTATGGCTGTTCGCACCACGACGCAGGTATGGCTGGATTCGACAAGTTAGCAGACAAGCTCAGGATTTTGATCGATACGCGCGACAACTCCCGCTGCACAGATTACATACCTGTCTTTCCTGTCTTAGAAAGATATATGGCATACTCCCCATTCGTGATTGGTCGAGCCTTTGCGCGGAAGGACTTGACATGTGCTGAGCGGTGAGGCCTCTCGTTATCCCAGCCAAAGTAACGCTTGGTCTCAAAGTCATTCTCTGGGTCTTCGAGACCGATGTCGATGTCCGCTTCGGGGATTGTGAACCACTCGTTAGCGGTTGCTAGGGTCTCAGATTGCGCCGCAAACGCCGAAAAGTCCGGGAGTTTGGTTCCTGGAGGTGGCAAAACCTTGTCACTCTGGATCAGCATGTAGAGCAATGTCTCCAGGTGCATGGCTTCATGTTCAAAGCCGATCCACAGTGCTCGCGACACGCGACCGTTCGACTCTGCTTCTCCCGAAGTGTACAGCGCCTCAACCTTTTGTCGCACAGTCTCTTGAAACTTCAGGATTGTCTCCAGCGGGGGCCACGATTCGGGAACCTCGGAGTGAGCATGACATTGAGTTGGGTCTTCAACATCAGGGTCAACACCACGTTCAAAGATCTTCCAGAAGTAGGCGGGGTCTGACGGCTTGCCATCGGTGGCACGGGCGATGTGGATGTCCAAGAATGTAGGAATATGGCCAAGGTAGAAGATGCACTCGTTGCGAAGCTTGATCGGCTTAGATAGTAGCTCTTCTTCGGGTATCATGTCCTTCGTGACCGCGTCCCAGGCCGTCCAAAGCTCACGCCACTCGGTCAAAGATGGCACCGGGTTCGCTGCGTATTCCTCGGGTTTGGTAGGGAAGAACATTGCAGGCTTCGAGACAAAATGTAGGCCATAGTCGCCCTTCGAGTTTGCCCACACAACGTTCTCTGCAAGTTTGGCCAATTCCCAGAGCTCCTTTGCTTCCTCGCGACTGTACTTGTAGGATTCTTCGATACGAACTCTCTCGCCCTGCTTGATATGAACACCGTCGACGACAGTGTCCTTGCGTGGTGCGACAAAAGCGTGATGTCTTCCAGCCTGTTCGTCGTACTCTCCAATGGCTTCCCAGTCCTGGATGTCGAAAGCTTCCTCGCCCATGAGTGCGTTTGCGTGCTTCAGCCCGTTGAGAATGAACTTGTGTGTTACACCGCCGCGATCGTTGTATGCATGGTAAACGCGCTAGTATGGGAATGTGGTCAGTGGATGTTTGCATGCCTGTGGGGACAATAGATTTACCTCGGGATCCTTGCATGAATCGATACCGATAAGCATGGTATCGCCAGTCTGGAGAACCGCACCAAATCCAGCAAGGAATGGCGGTACTTCATGGCGCTTGAAGTTGCCCAAGCTCGAGCCCAGCCAAAGGATTGTTTTCGGTTTCGCTTCGATTTCGGGAGTCTTCAGCCACTCAAGAGCATCATCATAGGTGCCATAGAGGCCAAAGCATTTGACGTGCTTGTATCCTTCTGCGTGCTTGATTAGCAAGTTTTGGGCGTTCGGATTGCCCCGTATTGCGCAATGATAAGGAGATGAGTGTCCGGGCCACTACTATGTTGAGGTGCATGTATGCAGGCTCATGTAGGTCTAAGCCACTTTCACAGGAAATTGATGCAAGCGTGTCGCACTATACAAACCCCACGACTCCCCTCAATGTTAAGCATGATAGGATGAACCCTCACCTGTAGGTATTTCCCCAAATGTTCTCTCCAGCTCCGGCAAAGAAAGATCGACAGCGTAATACTCGACGTCTTTGCCAAGACGGTCGACGGCTTGCAAGAGTATGTTGACTTTTCTGAGGTTGCTGCAAACACATTAGTATTCACGAAGCACAGGGCTCGTTTCCAATCTCTTGCGCAGTGCGAGCCAGGACCGTACCCGCTCCCCAGTTCCACGACAATGGACCCCGTCGGGATTCGTTCGGCGATTTTCTCCGCATACGTCTCAAGGACTTCAATCTCGGCATTCGTTAGGTAATACCTAACATTGCGAACATTTATCAGCTTGGTGTTTATATAAACCAAGCGTGAAGCTGCTCACTCCTCTTGGTACGTGATCTCTTCGAATAGACGAAGGCCTTCTTGGCTAAGAGGAGAGACAAAAGGTTAGCGTGCATCATGGGCTGACTAATTCGATGCTTACTCGTAAAGCAGCAACGTAGGCAGCTTTTTTTCGCCGCCACTCTCAGGCCGAAGGCCTTTCTTGATATCAGCGAGGATATCCGACTCGGCAGTGTCCGTGCGTATGTCGATTATTTTGGTCGCCATCTCTCTGGGGTGTTTGGTATTGGATGCTGTAGTCAATCGGTATGCCCCTCAAGAGCCGGTCTACTAGATGCGTCTTATGCCGAGGGTCGCGCGATACTTATACAGCGCGTAAAAGTACGTAATGTGGGTACTCGGACGCTTATGCCGTGCGGTAGCTGACGGTAACTAGAGGGCCGGTAACTGTTCAAACGGAATAGTGTAGAATGCAATGCTCCGTCAGAACGTGTACTGTTTGGCTAGCGGCTGTGGTGGTAATATCACTCGCAAACGCGCGACAAATCAGACGCGGTTTCTTCTCACGGTCAACGGCGGTGCGAGAAAAACGCCTGTTCGAGTCGAGCACATCATCGGCAGCAACCCCACCGAGGCAATCTACTCTGGTACCAATGCCATCCGGAGGCATGGTAGCTGGAACGTCAAGCACTGCTATGAGACCATAATGATGACGTCAATGTGTGCCGGCTAGGGAAAGGACGGAAGTCCGGGAGCAAAGGCAAAGAAGGTCTCGAAAACCGACGCCAAACCACGGCGTTCAGGAACACGCTGCAGGGCAGGCTGAGGCTGTTCTTCGGTCGCAAACTCTCGCCGACTGTAACATGTTCGTGAATGACCACACTGCCTGCTGCGGGGTCGATGCCTTGCTGCATAAGCGATGCCGTCACAGTGGAGTCGCGAACTTGTTGACACATTACCGTGCGCTCAACCATGGCTGGGCATGGCAACGTGATTGGGAAGGCGGGCGGCTTGTTGGACGCGGTTGACATTGGCGTAGGCGGCATGGGGAGTGTCAGGTACAAGCGTATTAACGAGCAGAAACATGTGGGCAGCAACAGTGACGACGGGACCGTCTGGTGCAGGATCATCACGTGATCGGCTGTGGGCCTTGGCTTCAGCCGACGCACGACTGGGCAATAAGGTTACGATGACGCGAGGTGCAACACCGCCGCGGAACAGCAGCGCGCGGAAAAGTCCGCGCGTCAGAAAACGATCATCTGACTTTGTGCACATTCACCATCAATGCCAGTCATCCATGAATCGTCCGCTAGAGGTCGTGCTGAAAAGCCACGATCCGCACGCCAGGCAAGAACCTTGATCGTCTGCATACCCGCTGTGACATGACACGCATGTAGGTGCTCTCACTTACGCGCTGTCCCGCCTTGAGGTCAACCACGCTCCCTTTCAATATCAGCTCAGCCCTCATACCACGAAACGATCGCAGTGCATTTGATGGCTGACTCTGGGTCGTTCTGCGCAGAAGGGCCAATGCTTGTTCTCGAGGCGCATCCGTCGCTCCTTACTCACCAGTCTGCCAATATCCAACGTCTCTTTCAAAATGAGGGCTGCCAAATGATTCAAGCAAACACAGCTCGTCTGGGACTCCCCTTTGATGTGCGCATACGGGCTGTCGTATCATCTCACCGATGCTGAGTCGCCTCGAATGACGCTACGCACCAAGCACAGAAGCACACCGTAGCTTCCCCCTTGCATAGGACATCACAATACCACGGCCGAACAAACGAACGGCATCCGCTAGAGCCGTACCTGATTCCATCACCACCGCCCATCCCCGCACGCCTTTTGAAACGTCTCAAGTACTGAATCCAGTTCACGCGAATGCTTACGAAGTCTCGATGCGTCTGACACGGTCATCAGGCCTGGACTGAAGACGTTGTCAACAAAGACGGCGAAGCAGCAATCGTGCAAACCTTCGCACCCCGCATGAATGTCGTGCTTCATGGGTCTGGCGGCCTGGGCGGCCTGAGCGGCTTGAGCAGCCCATGATAGAAGAGCCCAGCACAGAGCCCAGCTGCGGCAAGCCTCCCGACACCCCTTGGTGGCCCTTCCAAGGTTGCAATTGTCTCCGGGCAGATGGCTTTGTCGCAGTCTGGTTACGAATCTTATTGCTCCGTGATGGCTACGAGATGGGCGTCTGGCCGCCAACCGCGCTGACACTCGAGTCGGGCGTTACGCCACTGCTGTTCCCGAGCCTTGCTCGCACCTGTTGTTCCCGTTATTCGCGACAGCGTTCATATTGTATGGAACAAGCCCGCGCTAAATGTGATTAGTCTCTATTGAACCTAGACGTTGCGGTCTGCTGAGTTCGCCCGCGATCAAATAAGTCTCTTAATCAGACGAAGCGGAAGCCTTGCATTTACAACATCTCCTATTTCATGTGCTAAACATCAGTTGTGACCCGATTTATTGCTCACTAAGCCCGGAAAAAGCGACTACTGTACCACCCGCAACATGGCCCCCTCTCAGCTGTGGGTCACTCCTATTACCAACAGCTTCTTCCCTACGAACGAGCTTCCAACTTGGAATGCCGATCTTTCGACACTGCAGTCCGAGAAGGAAATCCTGGAGGATGGACTCGCCAACTGTATTACCTACCTGCAGGTTCTACGTAAGAAGCAAGCTCGAACAGAACGCCGGCTGATATCAGATCCCTCACTACCACGGAAGAAGAAGAAGCGGTTCCAGCAGGTCAAACGTGAATTGGAGAAAGAAATAAAGCACCGAGAGCAGGATGAACAGGCTTTTCTCAACAACCTCCAGGCTTGCAAAGCAAACATTTACATCGCCGAGACCGTCTCTCTGCCATCTACAGCCATATCCTCAACGTTACCAGACTTTGGCTCGATCTCGACAGGATGCTCGTACCCAAGAGACTTGGAATCGGCGCCTACCGAAACGAGTTGGAACGGTTGGACGGATGAGTCAGTCCTCTCGCCATTTCAGAGAGAAAGCATCAGCCCCTTTTTCACCTTCGATGTCGCCCCGGACGAGCATCTCGAAGCCAGAAGTACCGACGGAACGATATCGGATGACTACAAACAACCACTCGATGCCCAGCATACCCGAAAGATCAACCTTATACAATTTGAATCGTCCAACACGCGGACCCATCTCCTGCTGAGCCCCGAGGCTCCGATATTCCGCCCTCAGTCCACGTATACGAACCAGAAAGGGACTGTAGCTACACGACTAGCCGGAATCAACCTTCCTTCGGCAATGGCAGTAACAACGTCAAGTATAGTGGTGTTGGAGCTTCTGGACAAATGCCTTGTCAGTTATGCGGGCATGGGCCAAGCACGACGACAGGGTTCACTTGGGAACATAGAAGATCACTTAGGTAGCCTGCGTTTGGCCAAGCCCAGCTCGGACGCAACTGTCACGGGTGGCAAGCTCAAGTACAGAAGAGGCTCCCTATGATGAGACCACGCTGGCATGTTAGGCAGGTTCCATAACACCCCACGGCACATAATACTATTGGCAGGGTCCCACACTCATTGGTGCGGTCAGCAGTATATATAATTGGATCCACACATTTCCGTCACGTTCGATCGCTTCCGATGGCGCCTTTCTTCTACTCGGCAGCAGGCACGGTTGGCGAATGTGGGTTCATCGGAGCAAAAGCTGTTCAGGGAAGATGCAAGATAGGGCGTTTGGGCGGGAGAAAAGGATGTAGCTACAGGTTGTTGATGTTTACCATGTGAAATACAAGAATTGGTTGCTTGCGCTTGTCATCTGGCCTCGGCCCATCGCTGCCGTATTTGGTGAAGCGGGCTGCCCCACACTGTGCCGTCATCACAGCGCACCCGTGTTTGCGCGACTTGCAGACAACCGAACCACCTCTCCCCTCAGATCCACGTTCAACATCTGCACGCTAGCTAGAGTTCAACACTCTACGCCCGTCCGTCGGCCCAAAGAAGAGAAGCGCGATTTCTTGGTGTCTTAGAAAGACGGAACCTAGAGCCGTGCTGTGTGGCTCCAACGAGTGCCTCCACGCCATCCCGGCAGTTCCTACAGCAGACCACTGCGCAGTGCTTGCATAGCGTCGCGGCAAGCTCGCGCCGCAGCCGTTGCAGCAATATCAACCGACGAACCCCTCACCTGGCGGGTGCTGCAAGAATCGACACCTTTTCCATTGCTTCGTCTCATCCAACATGGCTGATGTTAGCAATGGCTCCAGCGCCGACGATAGCCAGCTACGCGAGCGGCCGTCGGCTAAGCCGCTGCATCTCAACAACGCAGACGATGCTAAGCAAAAGGTCTTGGAGCTGAACGACCAGGAAGACAAGAACCACAAAGATGACAGCAAGAAACGCACCTATGGAAGAACTCCAGACGGTACAGGTATGTCTCCCCTGGTGCTGCACCGACGCAAAAAGCAATTACCATGCATGCATAGCGTGTCTGCTTGTACCACGAACTACTCATACTAACACTACACGTCTAGTCTTCATCGTTCCACAGACTCACGACATGGTCTCGCAGCTGCTCTCGCCCTCGCAACCCAAGAACCTGTCCGATATAGCAGTCCTCGCCGTGCTTGCTGCCCTGATCTTGACCTTCTTCGTACTGCCCAAAAGCGCCCGCATACCCATATTCGCAATCATCTTCCTCTTCTGGCGCGCCGGTTACAATGCCGGTATTGGCTGGTTGCTCGATGGCCAGTCTAAACACAACCGTCTCGTCCTCTGGGCGAAACAGAGCCATGTCTTCGAGAAGCCTGAATCTGGCAAGAACCCACACCCCGCCCTGTACAAGCTCCTCAAGCGGGAACTAGAGACCAAGATCCCCAACGATTATAACTTCGACGAAGCGCCGCTTGAGTACAACACGTGGCTCGTGTTTAGGCGTGTAGTAGACCTTATACTCATGTGTGACTTTGTTTCATACTGCCTGTTCGCCCTCGCCTGCTTCAACCGCCCCCAAGAAAGCTTCTTCTTGTGGATTTTGCGCTGGACGACTGGCATTGTTCTATTCCTTTTCAACCTGTGGGTGAAGCTAGACGCCCACAGAGTTGTCAAGGACTTCGCTTGGTTGGGGACCCCTCCCTGACTCTGAAAGATAGACGTCTAACATGCGAGACAGGTATTGGGGCGATTTCTTCTACCTCATTGATCAAAGCCTGACCTTCGATGGCGTCTTTGAGATGGCACCGCAGTAAGAGGCTCCATGTTACTTTCAGCCTGAAAAAGACACTAACTCGCCGG